ATGCGAGGGGCTGTACATTTTCTACAAATTGTGGATTGCAGCAAAGATCCTCGACATTACCAAGGAGGAAATGAAGCTCCTGGTCAGCGAACGCAAGCGCCCAGTGGGGGACATTGTCTACAGATGCTTCTCCCTGGCGTTCAATTGCAAATACATATCGTTCGCAAGGGCTGGGCTGAACCTTGAGTGCCATCATCGCGGCCACAGACCCGGGCAAGTGTGACGGACCCCTGCTTGATTGGTGTATCCGAAAGGCACACTGGCTTGCAGAAGAGCACAACAAGAAGTATGTCCGAGCACGAAACGCCCAACGCAACTTGGACGAGGAATTCCGTCGACGCATCAATAGGATGGCAATTGTGGATCGACCTATGTGATGCAAGTGTGGATTATCGTCGCTTTTACGGCATGGTGCGGGCCAGACCCCATCCATCGCCAGCGACATATTAATTCCACTGCGATGTAACTTGCGGTATGGTGCGGGCCGGACCCCATCCATCGCCAGCAACACATCGATTTCACTACGATGGGATGATTTCAATATGATGTGATTTCTTATGTCCAAGGAACATAACTATGTATGTATTTACATATTCCGACGACTATGGCATTCCAGATATTCATGGATGGGCACTGTTACCTCATGGATGATTTCTTTTCCTTATATTAATCGTGGTATCTGGAATGGCTATTTTTTGCATATGTATATTGCTCGCCAAATTTCTTTGCCGGTGGTATTCAGATGGCTTATGGCCATGCGCCGCTATGGATTTCTATGGCCAACCCATGTCGGTGGATGACGGCTGCGCGATGCGCAAATGCGGCAGCTGGGATTCAATGGCTGCGTGATGGTATGAGGCAGAATGCCTCTTGCCTTTGTGTGCAGGACTGTGCTACGATTTGCGGATGCACGTTTCCGATTTGATTGAACCCGGCCAAGTTTCACAATGAATGAACGGCGTTGCAGTAGAGAGTGAAAGAATGTTCGACGCAGTTTCGTAGTCGGAGCCGTGGCCATTGGGAATTGTTGTGATGTTTGGACCGCATGATGAACGATGCGACCCAAATGGGGGATGTTAAAACCCTCCTGGCCCCGTGCCTAAATTGGGCTGTTCTGAGGTCCATGTTCTTGTTGATTAAGTATCCCATTGGACGCCACTTTGGCTCAAGTCACAAGTAGGGCTCAAGGTCTTGCATGAACTACGTTCGCACGTGATCGATCTGAGAGAGTGGAAAACAGTTTCATTCGCGCTGCAGCTTCTGAGTGTACAATCGTGGTTATTGGTCTTTACCCCCTTACAACAGTTTGCACTGGTTTGGCTATAACGGTTTGGCCGTATACCCATTCTACGTGGTTGAGTATACACAGCTGGAGGGTTCGGTGGACAGCGTCCCACGGAACGTCATCTTGCCATCTCTTGACAGAAGTCTTTGAACATCGGCAGGTTTATCTCCAAACTACGATTATAACACAAACCTAGGCTCAGGATTGGACGTGGTATCATGTTTCAATGTTTTTCCCCTTTACCAGTAGAAACGGCGAAGCCGGTGGGCGGAAGTTTCAAACATATAAAAACTATAGTTCTGTTTCCCTTTCTTTTCCTGACTATTTTTCTTCTTCTTTTTCGCTGTTTCTGTTTTTCTCTGTCGTGCTTTGTTTCTTCCTTTCTTTCTTTCCTTCATTGCTTCATCCCTTCTTTCCTTCTTTCTGCCTTTCTTTCTTTCTTTCTTTTCTTTCTGTATTTCGCTTGTTTTTGCTCTGTTCTTTCTTTTGTCTTTTCTCTATCTATTTATCTGTCTATCTATCTATCTGTCTATCTCTTTATCTATCTATCCATCTATCTATTTGTCTATCTGTCTGTCTATCTATCTCGTTATCTGTCTATCTCTCTATCTCTATCCATCCATCTATCTCTTTATTTACCTGTTTATTTGTCGCTCTTGTTATCTCTCTTCAATCTATCTATCTATGTATCTGTCTATCTATCTGTCTATCTATCTATCCCTCTCTCTGTCTATATATCTATCCATCTATCTATCTTCTATCTCTCTATCTATCTCTCTCTCTCTATCTATCTACCTCTCTCTCTCTAACTATCCCCTTTCTATAATCTATCTATCTATCTATCTACCTACCTATCTATCTTTTCTTTTTTATCTATCTATCCGCCTATCTAACTACCTATGTTTTGTTATCCATTTATCTAGGTATCTATTGATCTATCTCTCTTTGTATCTATCTGTCTATCTACCCATCTATTTATCTATCTACCTATCTATCTCTCTCTCTCTCTACCTATCTACTTTCTATCTAATCCACCTATCTCTTTTTCTATCTATGTATCTATCTATCTACCTCTTCATCTACTATTTATCTCTCTGTCCGGGACTCTCTTTCTCTCTCTCAATCTATCTATCTGTATCTATCTGTCGATCTACCTCTGTGTCTCTTTATGTATCTATCTATCTATTTGTCTCTCTATTCATCTCTCTCAATCTACCTCTATCTTTCTTTTTATCTATCTCTCCATCTGCTATATTTCTATCTATCTATTTCTCTTGTTTCTCTATCTTTCCCTATCTATCTATCTATCTATCCGTCCATCTCTCTATCTATCTATCTATCTATCTATCTACTTATCTAGCTACCTATCTTTTTTTATTTATCTATCTATCCATCTATATATCTATATCACCACCTCCTTAATCCTCAATTAGGGGGGGGTCAAAAATGTAAGTTACATTTTGGGGCTCAACTGCCCTGGTTTTCGGGCCCGGGAAGGGGGGGTTCAAAAATGTAAGTTACATTTTTGGGCCTCATTTTCCCTGGTTTTCGGGCACGGGAGCAGAGGGTCAAACATGCGCCTTTTTCATGGCCAATCCTTCTTCTTGTGTGATGGGGGACGCGTTTGCTGTCAGAGAGTGTAGCAGGCGCGCTTGCGTGTCAGAGAGTTGTATAGCAGACGCGTTTAGCGCCCAAGCCGCGCGGGCACCTTGACGCCCCGGGTCAGGCGCGTCCAGGGCGCGGCGCGCCCAGGGCGCTCGAGCGCGCCCCGGGCGCGCCGCGCAGGCGCGCGGACGCGCGCAGGGCGCGGCGCGTCCAGGGCGCGGCGCGCCCCGGGCCGCGGGCGCGCGGGCGCCCAACGGCGCACGCGCCAACGGCGCACGGGCGCGCACTGGCGCGCCCAGGGCCGGGCGCGTCCAGGGCGCATCGCGCCCAGGGCGTGCGGGCGCGCCCCGGGAGCGCGAACGGCGCACGTGCGCGCCAACAGCGCACGGGCGCGTGCAGGGCGCGCCCAGGGCCGCAGGCGCGCTCCGGCCGCGCCCGCGCGCACGGGGCGCGCCCAGGGCACGGCGTGCCCAGGAGGCACGCCGGAGCCTGGAAAACTGTGCTGCTAGCAAGAAATCGGACGGGTAGTCCACCGTTTGCTATGCGTTGAGGGCAGATGTAGACCAACAAGCTTGTTCGGAGTTTCCCCTAAGCCTGGCCCCAACGCCGTCATTGCCACTGCTGCGCCCAAGTCGAGTTCTTGCGGGCCTTAGGGCCGCTGGCCCTAAGCGCGGCAAGCTGGATCGCGAGCTTGGCGAGCTTCCGAAAACTACAGTTTTGAGCGCGGTGCGGACTGCGGGCCTTAGGGCCGCTGGCCCTAAGCGCGGCAGCTTGCTCGAATCTCGCAGACTCGGCTCGCCGCGCTTAGGGCCAGCGGCCCTAAGGCCCGCGGACCAGTTAGCCAAAAATTGATTTTCTGGTGGCTTGCCGCGTTCTCCATCCAACTTGCCGCGCTTAGCGCCAGCGGCCCTAAGGCCCGCAAGGAGTTGACTTAGGTGAGACAGTTTGGCACATCTGGCCCTGGCTCCCTTTGAAATGACTGTATGCTTTGCGCATGTGTTTCCGTATTTGCCCATTGCTTTTCCAGAAGCTTCTTGCCCAGCGCAATTCAAGGGGGCCTCCTTATTGGATTGCCTAAAAGCTGAAAGCGCGAACGTCAAAAATGAAGATTGCCTAAAATGTAGGGGCGCGAACCTCAAAATGTAATATACAATTTTCAGGTCCCCCCCCCTTAAGGGGTGGTGATTATATCTATCTATTTATCTCTTTGTTTCTCTGTCTATCCATTCATCCGGATCCGTCTATTTATCTCTCTATCTCTCTATCTATCTATCTCTCTGACTATCTACTTTCTATCTAGTCAATCAATCTATCTGTACCTAAACTGCTGCCCCTGCGAAAATGCTGCGCCTGCCACGAAATCTGTACTTGACCTTGCGAAAAAAGCTGCCCCTGCCACGAAGTCTGTACTTGACCTTGCAGAAAAACAGCCCCTGCCACGAAATCTGTACTTGACCTGGCGAAAATGCTGCGCCTGCCATGAAATCTGCACTTGACCTAGCGAGAATGCTGCGCCTGCCACGAAATCTGTACTTGACCTTGCGAACAATGCTGCGCCTGCCACAAAATCTGTACTTGACCTTGCGAAAATGCTGCGCCTGCCACGAAACCTGCACTTGACCTTGCGAAAGTGCTGCGCCTGCCAAGAAATCTGCACCCGACCTTGCCAAAATGCTGCGCCTGCCACGCAATTCAATCCCTGCGAAACCTCTGCGTTGCCGTGCCAATGGGCTTGGCGCCGAGCATGCTCCGAGCCGCTCCGAGACCGCTCTGAGACCACTCCGACCACACGCCGCGGACAGGCTAGCTTTCGCATCTCCGGAGACGCCAATTCACGCACAGGGCCACGCTTTTTGCGACTTTCTCATCTCCGGAGACGCCGAATCATGCACAGTGCCACGCTTTTTGCGACTTTCTCTTCCCCTGCCACATGCGCGCGCATTTTTTCTCGCGGGCTTATTCCTTCTCTTGTAATTTGTCTCAGAGAGCAAGCTTTCAATTAGTTGCCGTAACACGGAAGTTCCTTCTAAACTTCCTTTGATGACTAGCCTCAAGCTGAAGTGTCCTTGTTCTTGTGCACCAACAAGAAAACACATGCCGCGACATACAGGTTCTGGATCTGGTGTTGCAGCGCAACCCCTTGGACCATGATGGGCAATGTCCGCCGGATGTGTGCAATGAGAAGTTTGAGGGGGACCTTCGCAACAAGCGGCGCGCCCAAATTGAGTTTGTCTGGTCTCCAGGTGTTTCATGTCGAGTTTCGGTTGCGGCTATGACTCAACATGCTGTCCCATGCTTGTCATTTGCGGACAGGGGCCAGCAGAAGATCTTAGCCATCTTGGGTTGATTCCTTTTCCATTCTTTTCAACCATCGTTGTTTTCAAAAACCCGCTGTTTCATGAAAAGATTCGGATCCCTGGAAAGAATGGAAATGGAAGGTAGCCCTAGAAAATCTCGAAGCCTTGGAGGTGGCGAAGCCCCATGATCGAAAATTCCTTCGCCAGGAGAAGCTGCAAGAGCAGATTCAGTGTGTGCTAGGCGGGCGACTGACGCAAGAGCCAACTTAGCCACTGGGGGATTGATCAAACGGTCCTTTTTGAACATAAAATGGCCACTGAAAGATGTTAGATTTCAACGTGGGAGAAGTTACCCATGGTCATTTGGGGCCCCTACATGGAATATGGATCAACCCCCCGATGTGCGGCATTCTTTCTTATGGTACAGCTTTTGCATGTCTTCCGCGTGTGAGTTCCCAGAAGGCATCTAACAGCGTGGTTCATTGGGCTCAGACCTCCTTCCTGAAAGTACGGAAGTGTCTGAAAGCCCCCTTTTTTTCGCTAAATGTGGTGCATGAATTTGTTTTAGGTATTGGTTGAGTCACTGAGTAGGGTAACTAACTCATGTGTCTCAACCCTCCCTTGTTGGTTTTCGCCCAACTGCGTCAAACGGGGGCCCTGCATGGAATATTAATCAACCCCGCCCCTCTTTTTTTGCCGAACCGTGTCAGAAGCGTTGTTTGGCCCTACATGGAATATTGATCAACCTGTGTCAAAATCGTTGTTTTGGTTGAGGGTCTTTTTCTCTTCGAGGCTGAGCTGAGCCACAATCAAAACCCGGGTACATGAAGGTTAGTAAGGGATAATCCCAACCATAAATACCTGCAGATATCCGCCTTCTGAGATTACGACCATCTTGATACTGGTTTTTGATTATGACTCATTTCCATCGAAGCACTTTGGGATTACGACCATTTTACTACCGGGTTTTGAGCAAGTGACTCAGCTGACGTTTTTCGCCAGGTCTGCGGCTGCGTGAGCGAAGCGACCGGAGCGAGTCGGAGCTGGTCAGGTGAGCCGCTTGCTGAAAGCCCCGGGAAGATTTGGAAAGGATAGTCCCAGCCAGCAGGTGCGGAGATCTGCGCCCTTTTCTTGAAGGGTCCGCTTTGGTACCGACTGGTTTTGAGATGTTTTGAGTTTGACTCACATGGCATGGCTAGGTGTGCCCTTGGAGCGCAGATCCTTTGGGCAGAGATGTGAACTGGCCCAGGCCCGGTGAACAAGCAAGAGCTCTCCATCCGTGCGCTCCCTTTTGCTGCCAGTCGGCTACATCTTGTGCTGACGGAACTCCCAGAGAGGCCAGCGCTCGAAACGATCCGCCAAGCCGGGATCTAACATGCACCAAAAATGGATCCTTGTCAAGACTGTCCAAGCTAGCTGGGTTCTCCAAAATCGACCCCGAAAAGTTGGTGCTTCCCAACCATCCTCTTAGGTGTTTAAAGCTTTCTAGTGTGGCAGTTTCCACTGAATCTGGGAATCTGGGAACAGCCCAATCAGATTCCTATCTTTCAAACCCATGTCGGGTTCATTGTGAGAGAAACACGCAGCCTTTCCTGCTGGTGCTCAGGGAATGTGGGAATGAGCTAAGCCAGGCTTTGGTCCCCTAGGAAACCACTAGCAGGACGTGTCTTTTTTTCCCGACCGCTCATGCGAAATTCCATTGCTTCCATTGGTCATTCAGGTGTGGGTCAAATTAAACCACCAGCATATGGCCCGAAGGTTTTAGTCTACTTTTTCATTTACCAGGGCAACCCATTTTGGGCACAGCCATTTTTGACCCACACCCATTCCATCCTCCCCAAAAGAGCCTTTGGTCCCTCGTCATTCCATTCTCAGCATATCTCCAGGCGCCTGGCGGAAGAGTTGCATCTGCACCTCGGCCGGGTGGACAGGCGCAGGGCTCCGCGCGGACTTTGTTGTTTGGAAGCCCCCAATTTCCAACCAGAAGGAAACCAACCCATGGGGCTTCCACATGATGTTAAGACACAGTTTCAAGCAAAAGGGAGCCAATTTGGGCTTCCCACATTGCCAGACATGTTTTGATATTAGTGGACAAACACGACATGGTCTTCACAGTAACGCATGAAGGCGTTCTTGAAGGATCTTTCTGGCTTCCCGTTGAAGTGGGGCTATGGTCAGGTGGTTGAAAAGCAGATTTTGCCCAACTTCCCTCTCTGTATGGGGTGGGATAATGTTGATTGGTTTTGTCAAATACATGTTGGTGTATTGATGATGTTCATCACGTATAGATAGTCTTTTCTGCCAAGTTTTTATGAGTTGGCCTGGGGCTTGGTGGCACACAAATGCGAATGCTAGGTATGGCAATTCCGAATGTTCCTGAGGCTGTCGTTTGTTTGTTTGTGTGTACTGTTGTGTTTGTGTGTGTGAGTGTGTGTGTACTGTTGTGTGCGTGTGTGTACTGTTGTGTGCTTGTGTGTGTGTGTGTGCTGTAGTGCGTGTGTGTGTGTGTGTGTGTGTGTGTGTACTGTTGTGTGTTTGCGGACTGTTGTGCGCGTTTCGCGTGTTTCGAGCGCGTGCGTGTATGTGTGTTTGCGTGTCCGTGTGTACGTCTGTGTGTGTTTGGGTGTGCGCAACCGTCTTTTGCATGCTTGGCTTGTTCTTCTTTGTTTTGCCTCCGATGTTGTTTGTTGTGCATGTGTGTTGTTTTGTTTTGTTGTGGCGTGCTTGGTTTGTTTCTGTTCCGCTCCGCTCTGTTCTGTCCTGTCTGCTTGTTTTCTTGCTTGCTTGCTTGCTTGCTTTCTTGCTTGCTTGCTTGCTTGCTTGCCTGCCTGCCTGCCTGCCTGCTTGCTTGCTTGCTTGCTTGCTTGTTGTTTTCTTGTTTGTTTGTTTGGTTGGTTGTTTGTTTGTTTGTTTGCGTGTTTGCGTGGTTGCTTCTTTGCTGGAATGTATGTTTCCTTTCCGGCTTGGTTTCTTGTTTCACAAATCACGGAAGCGACTGGTGGGAGTGGTGAGTTGTCATTACTTTCTCTTTCTCACCTCTTCAACATTCCAAGTGGGATAGGAATATTCTGTCTAATTTCTTTCCTCTCTGCTTGGTTGCTCGCTGGCTGGCTGGCTGGCTTGCTTGCTGCGGTGCCTGTTTGCATGTTTGCGCCTGTCCCCTTCTTTGGTGTGGTTGCCTATTTGCGGGTCTTCTTGTTTTTTTGCTTGGTGTGTGTGTGTGTGTGACAGAGAGAGAGAGAGAGAGAGAGAGAGCGTGTGTGTGTGTGTGTGTATTGTTTGGTGTCTCTGCGTGTGCCTGGGTGTTTGTGCGGATGTGCTTGGTACCTGTGTCATGTTTGAAGCAACTGACCACTTGTGGCCACTCGCGTTTGGCAGAACTTGTGATTTACCCTTAATAGTATAGGTGTGCGGTCATGTGATGTTTGGACACATGTCGTCATGCTTCCTTCTTGAACTATGACTCTGACCATTTGTGTATATTTGGTGCCGACCGGCTAACGGCTAACACTGGCAAACCCCCCAGTGGGGGACTTGGGACTGTGCACGCCCCTGGCAGGCGTTTGGAAGATCTGGAAGCAGAAGTGAGGCGCCGCCTAGATCCAATGTTTGTGTCCAAAGCATCGCGTGAAATGGTGTGAACATTTCCACTTTGTTGCTTTTTGATGGAGGAGGAAGCAGTGCAATCCGGGTAACCAGGCTGGGGGATTTTCCCGCGGTTCTTTCACAAAATCGGTCAAGTGCACTTGTGGTATGTTGAAGCTACCCATGCTGAACATTTGGGTGTGGCTGTTTTAGGAATCGGGTCCCGCAAAATGGATGTCGTTTTTTTTTGGTATTCATTTGCCACCAAAAATAGGGTAACCTCAACAAAATACCCATTTGGCATCGTGAGGCAAGTGTAAGACGACGCTCATCTGCATATCATGCGAGCGGCTTGAGGGGTTCTGTGGGAGGGCAGGGGTCTGCGCATGAGACAATTTGGGTGCATCTGCTTGTCGTTGTTGTTTAAATGTCAGGCGCATGAATGTGGACCAGCAGAATCAGCTTGCTGACCTGCTTCAAAGGCGCGCCTTGCAGTTGAGAATTTGACTGTTTGCTGGTGGGATGTCAACTTAGCACAACCGGTGCCCGTAAGACCTGACACAGAAAACAAATTGCAGGCGGACATGTGAGCTACGAAACCTAATTTCTGTGTAAAATATCGAATGTTGTTAGTGTTCCGACCAATGGTCATACCATATAAAGGACCTTCTGATCAACCCCCACATGGAAGCGTTCGACGTTTGGGGGGTCCTGGTGGATGGAAGACCATCTTCCTTTTAAAGGGACCGGGTCCCGAAAGTCAGGTTCCATGCTACTTGCTGGGAGGGTACCTCTAGAGTGGGTAAGCAGCAGTTTAGCTTTGGTTTTGGGGGTTGATCAAAAGGCCCGGTAAACACAAAATGATCTTTCCCTCCACCACGGGAGTCTAGGTGATGCAAGCGATTGTTGAAAGTTGAAAGCCATGGTATGCCGTGGTAAATGAAGTTCCAGACTGGGGTTGCTGGCTGCAGGTGAGCCACTATCAAACCATGAGTAGATGAAGGTTAGTAGAGTGGCCGTCCCGGGACACAAGCATTCATTCTGAGCGGCAGCTCTTTTGTGTTTTGCAGGTGTCTTGAATCCCCCAAAAAGATCCACAAAATAGATCCAAAAAAGCTCTTTTGTGTTTTACAGGTCTCCTACCAAAACTGATCCCCCAACACACAAAGGCCCATCCCAAACTGAGTCTAACATTTATCCGATGGGCTCCCACGCAGCGTGTCAGTCATCACTTCTCGGGCGCTCGCAAGGCTTCAGGGCAAGGAAAGC